GGGGGGGGGGGGGGGGGGGGGTATGGCATTAAAAAGGTGAATGACTGTTCCTCTGCGTTCTTTTAGCGCGATTGCATTTTTCTTAGCGTGGGCTTCCTTTATTGAAGAAGACTGGAACTATTACCGCTGACCGGTTATTAGCAGACCACGTGCAGCAAGAAGAAGATCTATAGAGAATGTCGTAAAAATGTTATCCTACGAAAAAGAATCGAGAAATTTAGGTACAATTCAGCTTGTTGGAGGAGAAACATTAGTAACTTTACCTGTACAGTTTAGTAGAGATTCAAGGTGAGCCATAGTGTTATGAAATGCTTTATTATTCGAGGATCTTGATTGGATATGCGGTGTGTTTGTTTATATGACTTTCATGTCGAAGAAAAACTAGTTAAACCATTAATTTTGGCTTTTATTTCGCCCTTGATTGCTGTTTTATCATATGTATGAGGTTTCAGAGTGTACATACATTTGATTTTTAAAACATGGTATTTTTCATTACAGTATTTCTTGAGTTCGACTTTATAGTTCTGTCGATGATCAGAAAATCTGGTCCCTAATAGTTAAAACCATGCTCAAATCTCGTTATTTGTGCAAAAATTCTTTATTAATTCTTTATTGAGCCTCATAGTTGTTGAATCGTTTAATAAGAAATAGCGTGAGAATTTTCAAGGTTTGAGGTACCATTTTTGTTTGGGATCCCTGTGGTGGACACATTGATAATTTGAGCCAGCAGTACGTAGGACAATTGCCTTAAGAACACAGTAAGTTGACTTTATCCACATGAGTCTCTCTGTAGCTCAGTGGTAGAGCATCTGACTGGTTATCTGGAAGGTCACAGGTTCGATTCCTGTCAGATGGATTCAGGATTTTTCTGAGTTCCCTGAGTAGCTAGTACCTAGTAGCTAACTAATACCTCTAGATGACTTTTGTTTTATTTTAATTACAGACATTTTTTCTATTGTGGTGGTAACAAGATATATGTGTACAGCACTGAAACAGGACAGTTAGTTAGAGAACTTAAAGAACATGCACAGGATATAACTGGCTTTAGTGTTAACTCTAAAAATGACTTACAGGTATGAATACAAGGTGCAATGTTCATGCAATACAGCATGTTATGTTGATGTATTCTCATACTTTTTTTGCACAGGCTTTTGTATGTTAAACTGACATATTTGGTGCAAAGCTGGCTGGTTTTACTGGTCAAATAATAAGGCATGTAAAAGCTCATTTGCCAGCAAAAAGCCCAAGCAAAGAAGTATGCAAATGCATTACTTAAATGTTGTCATACTTTTGTGTGTCATGCTACGACAGAATATTGTAATTATAAGTAAGAGAAAGGTTTCAAATTACACCTGTCATTCAATGGTTAATTACAACAAAATAAGGTATACATAATCCTGATAAGGTGTGGTATTAATAATGATAATAATAATAGTAATAATTTAATCACTTATTCTATTGAAACGTATGTTGATCTTTTCAACATTTATCGTGCATTATATAGACTGTCTAGCTTTGGCACAAACTTCATCATATATTTACAGTGTATACAGCTGTAGTAGTTATTCCTTACCTTACATGACATTTTTTCTACTAAACTTTGCCAGAAATACTAAATTCTAAGCGACCTTTCAGTTTTTACCAGGGAAGGGGGAGATTTGAATGGGTGCATTGAAAAATTCGGGTTCGAAATGGGGGTGACACAAACAAAATTGAGTCAAATAACACTTTTACGATAAACAGCATGGAAAATAATACAATGGGAGCGTATTTTTTATGAAACAACATAAAGTGGGGGTAAGTTTTTTCTCATGGGTTCCCATTCCAAATCAATGAGGAATAGCCCATAAAATCATAAGAGATCTAAGGTTAAATCTTTGTATATATCTATATATATCTATGTGTAATTTACCATTGAAGTTAGTGTACAAGTATGAGTATAGAAGTACATTTACCTGTACAGTAATAGTGATTGAGTACAAGCATGTAAGTTCGTATTTTCTTTTCTTTCTTGTATGGTAGCTGGTCTCATGTTGTAATGAAGGGTTGGTGATAGTGTGGGACTACACTGATGGTGCATTACTCAAGGTACTGTATCTCATGTCTATCATGCAATATGTAGCTTAGAAATAGATGTTAAAGACTTCTTGACTCTGGACTTGAAATAACGACTGGACAATGTCCGACCAGAATAGAACTTGTCCAGTCAAATCTTTGCCTTGCTGTTCATTTTGACTCATAACGTTGAGCCAGAATCAAGGTATGGCTGAGCTAAAAATAATAGGCTGGTAATAACGGTCACGTGTCTGTACTGGTGAGCAAATTTTTTTATTCTATTTTAAATTGGTGATTCTTTTTAGCTACTTGTTAAGAACTGAATGAAACAATGTGTATCCAGTTTGTTATGAAATGCAGTTTTATTAATATCTCTCGAATCAGGTTGTAGAAATTTTGTTTAATAGTCATGATTTAAACTAGTGAATTCTCACTTTCTTAATATTATTGTCTTATACATGTACGCACTAGTTTCATTGTTACAACCTCTTCAGTTTGACTAGAAATTTTGAAATTTTGTTCACTCACCAGTATATTTCACCCATGCATGGGAATCAAGATGTTCATTCCTTTGCTCTCAGTGAATTAATCAGCACTTGATTACTGAGCTGCAAAGGGCCTATTTGACTTACTGGCTATTATTTTCTGCCTTGTGACTTAATGTTGTGACTTGAATTTTGATCAATCGTTAACAATATTATGATGTCCATAGAAGTCTGTTATAATTTAGCTCAGTTGGTAAGAGGGTTGGTCTGTTGTGCGGGAGGTGGTGGTTAAAACCTCAGCTGGACCAACACTCAGGGTCTTATATAAATAACTGAGGAGAAGGTGCTGCCTTTGTTATAATATCTGCAAATGGTTAGACCTTCAAGTCTTCTTGGATAAGGAATTTAAACCATAGGCCCTGTCTCCCAACCCTTCCTAACCCACAGTAAAATGGGGGACATAAAAGAACCTGTTGAATTATTCATGTAAGGGTAGGGGATTGTCTCCCGGTTCAGCAGCTTATYCCTGTCTGGAGGCATAACACTAATGTACCAACAAATCACTCATGATTGTAGGCTGTATGGCTTCTACTAGCGCCTTAATATGCAGCCCCTAAAGTCCTCCACTGGTCATTAATATAAAACGCATTGAGACGTTGTATAAATGCACTATACAAGAACCTCCCATTATATTAATTAATGATTCATTTGTTGTCATGTATTGAGTAGAAACCAAAGCTTCTCAACTTTATATTTTTGTTCTCAGAAACTTGAATTCAGTGATAAGTTACTTGGTGTTTTTTCTCATCCCAATTATGAAGATTCCTTATTTATAATCAAAAAAATTTACAAAGGTATAGTAAAAGTAATAAAAGTGTTGGTTTTAGATACATTATGTTTATACAATGCAGTTGGCATAAAAATTGAATGTCAAGTGAAAACTAAATACAAAATTAATATCTATTACCGTCATTTGCATTACTACATGGCCACCCCAGACACAAATCGAGTTGTGTAGTTTGCAATAGACTTCTGTCAATCATTCATGTTGACGCCATTCATACACGTTTGGATCAGTGAGTTGGCTTTTCTATCAAACTTTCTCAGTCAGATATCAGGAAGGAAAGTTACGAAAGCAATTGCAAAGAGTTTGAATACATCCAAGTAGAATAAGGTGTTTGATTGACGGCAGTCTATTGCAAACTACACAATGCGATTTGTGTCTGGGGTGGCCACGTAGTAATGCAAAAGGCGGTAAATACATTATTGATCAGAAGGAATAGGAAATGCACACCTGTACTGTGTGCAGTTAATTAGAGCATGTGGAAATTACTTGATTATGAAATACAGCCTGTAAAGAAGCATAGAATATATTATGTGTAGCATTGTGTATGATGTGTGCTCTCATTAAACATGCCTCTACCAATTCAGTGCAATCAGAAAGCAAGGTTTAAAAAATCTTTTTACTCATACTTTACTTGTATGGTTGAAATTTTGAATTATGGGATAGCGAAGAGGTACTTTAACAACGTAGAATTTATAATAAAGCATTGAGTGATGGGGTTACATTTTCAAATGATTCAAAGTCTTGGCGTTTTGCATATAATTATTGTTCTAACTAACAGCAATCTCAATTGGTTTTAGATGTGCTTTTCATTGAAAAAGATAAAGTYATATAAAAATATACCCTGACAGCTAAGCAATATATGATTTTTCCAATAGCTGTTCCTTTGGTAACTCATAATGTCTTAGTTAAAACAAAAGAATTTAAGATGGCTGCCATGTATGTATAGTATTACACACACATATATATGTATCAGTCAAAAAGTCTATAATTTTATTAATGACTTTATTTTAAAGGTAAACGATGGAAACCCACACTTATACAGGTCCACTTGACAAAAACAGATGAAAATGGAAAACCAGAACAGAAGAATTTATTCAAATTTACAGGATTACCCAAACACTGTTGCTTCAGCAAAAAGGTTTGAACCACTCATTCATTTCCATTGCCTAACTGTTTTTCTAGGATATTTTTTTAACTACACAATTTGGTAGGGTTAATAGAATCACACAGGGAAATTTCTTATCAAGGCCCTTCTAGATCAAATAAGAATTTAGAAGTTGGTTTTGGTGAAGGGAGGTAAACCAGAGAACCTGGAGAAAATGGACAAAACAACTTTACTTGCATACATGTATGACGTCAATGGGAATCAAACATGTTTAGCATTGGTCAGGGGTGAGAGCTCTCACTTTTACAGCACCCATGCTTACTTACACTAGGTAAGGAGGGAAGTATGTGCCCCTTACTTTTTAGTGCAGTACTTTTAAGATAATTGAATGTCATAAAAGATTGTTGATTTGTTTACTTTTTTATATAGGGTGACCAGACAATTCCTGGGTCCTCTTTATGCCCCAGGGCCCAGTTGTACGAAGCAAGGATAGCGCTATCCGGCGGATAAATCCTTATCCAGTGGATAAGTCGATGCTGTTATCCAATAAATTTATCCACTGGATAAGATTTATCCATTGGATAGCGCTATCCATGCTTCCTACAACCGGGCCCTGCTTCCTTATAATTACAGTACATACTTATTAGTAACTGTTTTGTTTGATGTGTTTGTAGGGAAGGTACATAGCATATTTGCATAAGAGGGGGGAAGAACTTGGTATCTGGGACACAAAAGCTAATGAAGCAAAAAGGTAATGTCACTGGAGCTACATGCAGATTACCTGAGTCTCATGTGCAAGATATACATAGTTGAAAGGGCTGCATTTACAAGTAAGGTGGTGTAGACCTACAGGTACACTAGCTTGTCTCTCACTTATGGGGTGTCTGGTTTGATTCCTGGACTTGACATCACATGTGAGTAGAGTTTGTTAGGTCTCTCACTTGATTTGGGAATTTTTCTCTGGGTTCTCTGGCTTTCCTCCATCTGCAAGACCTAACAAGTAAAACTAACTTTCAATGATATCTGTGAGTTGAAATGCCATGACTTAGGTCAGCCCAGAAGTTGTTTCAGGGTTTGATCAAATTGGCATTTGATTAGTCAATGCTAGTACGTACTATTAGATACACACAGGTTACAAAGCTACTGTAGTTAGAATTGCCCAATGTTTTATTTGATTTTGACCAATATTAATATATTTTAAATTAATATTTTAATATATAAATGTATTAATATTTTTTTCAGTTTCTTATACAAAGATTCTCTTTTTACTTGTGTGGCTTTTCATCCAAATGAAGCATGTGTAGCGGCAGGAGACCAAAATGGTCGAATAATTATTTGGTGAGTTGATAGTCAATAATTATTACAGTACATCCTAGAAATGCACTCAACACTTCGATGCAGTGTAACAACCACGATACAAATTGATTGCTTACTGTATTGTTCCAGAGCATATCGGAAATAAAAATTATTTTAGTCTTTCCCTCTTTGGTTGTTGGGTGTACTGAACCAATATGAAACTTAAACTCCTCTTTGCACCCAGGCTAGACCACAATGCAACAGTGCAGAAATGGTTTATTTCAACTGTATTTTTTTATCCAGGCAAGGAATAGAGACCAAAAAACCTGTCACGATGCAGCTCCATTGGCATGCTCACCCACTGGCATCTGTAGCCTTTACGCATGATGGTACGGTAACTATGGCAACTAGATGACAGCCCCTTTATTTATTCTTAAAGGGCAGGAATATATATTCCACTATCTATCAATCCATCTATCCATCCATCAATATATTCACTCATTCATCCATTCATTCATCCATTCACATATTTTCTTCATTCATTATTCATGCTTTTTCATTAACGCTCACAGGGTCGTATATGATATCTGGAGGACAAGAAGCTGTACTAGTTCTTTGGCAGTACAGCTCTAACTCCAGACAGTTTTTACCAAGAATGGGTTCTCCAATAAAGCATGTGGCTTGCAGCCATGATGACTCGGTGATTGCAGTCAGTCATGAAGATAATGGTGTGTAACAAATCAATTTTGTGTTTTTGTTTTTTTATTGTCTCTATCAATCGTTCCGAGTCATTTTCCGACAGCTCAAGGAAGCATAATGATGCACATGTACTTGAAGTTATCTTGGCCAATTCAAACAGAAAATACTTTGATTGATAATTGTATTTATTGTGAGTCATATGTGTATAGTTTCAGCATTTTAATTAAATACATTTCAAATGCTTGTATCATTAGTAGTTAAAGTTACAGTTGTAGTGAAGGATTAACTACTCATTGACCTGAAGTTAGGCTTTAATCGACGATAAACTTAACCTAATTGACAAACATGGCGGCTACCAATACAAAAGATCGCTGACAATAATAATAACTGACTCATAAGCCACATGAACCCCAAAACCATATAAAATGTGCATAGGAGCGAATGCGGTTATCAGGACAACAGTCAGTTCTATTTTTAACTAAATTCAAAATTCCAACTTTTTTCCAGTTATCAAGCTTGTGTCTGGTATAGACCTTAGTCCAAAGCACACCATACAAGGCTTACGGAAATGTAAGAAGTATTCCATCTTTGCTACCAATAGATTGACTTAAAACTCATCAGAGAAAAAGTCAATGGTCTTGAATTTAAAAATTATAGTTATCATAAAGTAGGTTTTGGTGGATATGTCAATCAATGCATTTTGCCCTTGAAAACTTTATACTGTATTTTCCAATAATGTCATGGAAATGCTTTGATTGACATCTCATCCTCCAAAACCCTATTTTGTCACTATGGCAAATTGTTTGATTTTGCACTTGATTGGGAAGCACAGTCTCTAACTTTGGATTCATATGTAAGTTTATATACTTATTTATTATGTTCTATATTTTTCTTACCTCTCTTCCAGCTAGTTACATGCAAAGCAAACTTGTTTTTGACCCTCGTACTGGGACAATGGTGCTGAACAGCATGCCAGGAATTCTCCAGTTTTACGACCCTTATCTTGACAAGGGCATTTTTGTTGTAAGTAAAATATAGCATTATGATCATGGAAACGCTTTACGAAGATGGCCAAAAGGAGCTTTTAGTGGATGTCAATCAAGGCATTTCCATGACATTCTATAGGCACGTGCTCTTATAGCTTTGTGTTTTCCGACCACTAAAACCTTCTTCGTGGTGACAGAAACAATTGCTAGAGGGCGCGTGTGATTGAAAATGGCTGTAAACTTAAAGCCCCAATAGAATACAAGCATTATATTTCTTGGCCCAGAAATTAAAGCACAGTACAGTTATGCAAGTTGGATCATATTTAGAAGGATAGATATAAAACATGTCTTTTTCTTGGACGTCCAAGCTAAAGGGCATTTCAAAATTATCTTTTTTCTCATGCCTTCAGTAAATTCAAGCCTTAGAGTACTTTTCATTGCTCTGCAACATCTTCGTTACTAGATTCAAGACGTCTGAGATAATGGCTTTAGTCATTCAAAAGTTGGATCTGAAAATGTCTGGGTGGTAGAAGAATAAAAATTGGTTTAAAGATTCCTTTCAATTACATTATTGTACTGATTGTTCCTTTTCGGTGAACTCGTTTGCAGGTTGATGTCGTCAAGCAGAATTTAATTTCCCAGACAGAAGATGAAAAGCTGTTTTTTACGCTGATACATCATGTGGCGTTCAGTGAGACTGGTGACTGGATGGCTACTGTAAGTTTCATATTAATGCATTTACTCAAAAATTCATGCGAAAAAAGAAATAATACTCAAGGGAATTACATGTGGTCTGGTATGGGAAAACACTGGACCATCACATCCAACTAAGAGATTATAATAATGGTCTTAAAGCACTATTGGGATGTATATCCAATCAGAGTACTTGAATTTATTACAGACATGTAGACTAATGGTCACAATACGGCACCATAAATGAATCATCCTCAATAGAAACTCCAATAGGTGTATCACATTTGAATATAGTTCCATTCTGGTCTATGTTTATAATTTCCATTATGTCTTTCTTTACTACTGTCTACTGTAGATATTCTACCAGGAAACTTGCTAAGTTGTTACTAATACATTTACAGTAGTCAGTAATTGTCTTGTTTATRTTTCTTGCTGTAATTTACTGTTACAGGTTGAACATAGGAAGGACCATTGTACAACAGAAGAGACACGGTTAAAGTTTTGGGAATTTAATGCAACAAATCAGTGGTACACTAATCCTAAGAAAACTTCTCACTCACATCTAATCACTTACACTGTACCATTTAATTATAACTAACTATTAGCCATTCCCAGCTTGAGGAAAAAACGGGGCCAAGTTAGCATTGCAGTGCATTTTGGGGCTGTTTTAGGGGACATATTTCCAAGAAGGCATCTATTTCTTCCTTTTTAAGACAGCCCCAGAATGCAATGCAATGCCAACTGGACCCAGTTTTTCCTTAACCTTGTAACGGCTTAGGATTGTGGCGTGGCCAATGGACGCAGTAATTAATCCCATCTAAAGGCAAGCTTAAAGTCCATTCACCAGAAAGAGTGTGCTAAAGATTTTGTGATTTGCTAGGAAATGACTTGAYATTAATCGTTGTCAGTGCCCCAAAAAGCTTTCGTGTAATAAATTCCAACCTGAAAGTGATATTTATGCTAATGAGGTTTACTCGTGTTTATATATAGTTACTCCATCAATACCATTATTGACACACCTCATGATCATCGTACAGTAGCAGTACAATTTCAGCCAGCCAGTCAGAACAGTGAACCAACAATGGCTGTCACAGCAGGACATGATGGGAAATTCAAAGTCTGGGTATTAAATGAAAAACAAGGTGTTGCTGGTAAGGTGTAGAAATCTTTGTTCTTGGGTCTCTTTGTTTTTTTAAACAAACTCTGGGCTGATCTCAGTCAAGGCATGGCTAACTCACAGATTGAACCCTGAAACAATATCTGGGCTGATCTCAGTCAAGGCATGGCTAACTCACAGNCAAGGCATGGCTAACTCACAGATTGAACCCTGAAACAATATCTGGGCTGATCTCAGTCAAGGCATGGCTAACTCACAGATTGAACCCTGAAACAACCTCTGGGCTGATCAAAGTCAGAGCACGGCTAACTCACAGATCAGATTGGAATTTACCTGTCACTCAAACCAAAGGACTTCYAGTAGTTAATAAATCATGCTAATGCTATTAACATGTACTTGTTCAATAGGAACAAAATTTGTCTGGGCATGCCAGTCAGTTGGATACTATAACGACACACCATGTTTGGATGCTGTGTTCTCAGAAGATGGTCAACTCCTAGCCATACCTTATGCTCAGGTGAGAGCATAACCTAACTTTATTCATAGCACACCATTAAGAATCCAGCTAATATGAATATGGGAAAGGTTTCCCCATCAGGCATTTCAGCCTAGGCATTTTCAGTAGTGTAGAATAAAATAGTTTTTAAAAAGAAGTAATAGTTAAACAGTGCTTTCTTGTGGCACTCCAATGAATGCCCCACTTGTATATTCTTAGGCTGCATTCATAATGTATGGCAGAGGGGGGAGGGGGGCAGCAGAGGGGAGGGGGGGCAGGTGAAAATTTGAAAATCCCCTCTAAGCAAGGCTTGTAGCTTCTTCCAGAAATTGTGCTTCCCCCCCCCCCCCC